TTTTATCTCAAAAGCTCACACAGTGATCAAACTCAGAATACAATTAATGGAATATTTTCCTAGCAGCATCCACTAATTGATATTAGCCAGATGTCTCATTAAAATCAGCAGTGACAAACCCTAGCTCTTTCTTAGGAAAATGCACTTTTGCAGGCTAATTAAATTTATTTTTGGCCATTATCTTTTGTAAGACTGAAATCAAGGCAACTTGCCCTAGAAGTGCTTTAAAACAATTTCATATAATGATTCCATGCAACCATTCCATGATTTGAAAACCTTTAGTCTTTGAAAGCTAAAATAATGATAAATAAACTTACTGTTTCATGGTAAACCACAAGAGAAATAAAGGAAAAGTCAACAGGAAGACTATATGCTCTACAAAAAGCCTTGACACCCCCTGCCAATAACTCCTATGCACCATATAAGGTCACACTTAAAATGCTTGTTTTCACTCACTCTTTTTTTTTTACTCTTTCCATATTTCTCAGGTTTGTTAGCAATTTTTTTTCTTGAAGACTTATTTAATTGAACACCTGGAAGAAAAAAAACCTATTTGGACCATTAAGCACCCTTTTTTTTTTCTTTTTAAGGATATGACTCAATAAATGCATTACAGGACCACCCTCAATATCCTTAAGATACACCTACAGAGAGACATCCGGCTGATCTGTTATTATAATGACTTAATTAGTTTGATAGGATGGGGTTTTTTGATCATATAAAAGTGTAAGAGTAATTTTAAATATTTTACAGATGGAAGGGCAGACAAATCAGGTATGAGTCAATTAACGCTATGCTCTTACGTTTTGGGAATTGCATAGTTCTTCTGTTTCGTGCAAGCTCATCACTAATTCTGGGCATTTACGTCCTTAATCCATTTATCTAAAACCAGAAAACAGTCATTCTGTCGTCTACTGAATTGCATGGTTTTCAAACAACTTCTTGTACAATTAAATGGCACTCTCATGCAACCAGATACATAGCCAAGAGGTCAGAAGAGCAAGAACTGCGATACCTAGCAAAAAGAGCAAATCTGTTTCAGCATTTGCATTATCAATTTTCAGGAAATAAAAGGTTTGTACTACAAAGAGACAAAACAAAATAGACAGAAAAAAAATAAAATCCCACGATGAGAAGAAGTTGGGTGACAAGTCCCAAAGGTCAGCCTTGAGATTAGGCTAGTCTTTCTGTGCTCCTTCCAGCAAAAGAACACAAAAAAAAGCTCTGTTCCTAACTCTCCCAGGTGAAGCTTTCCCACAGTCTTTATGAAATCCTCTCAGAAGTGTTCACCAGAACAATTCATAAGAACAGAAATAAAGTATGGGGAAATCAAGAAGAAGTCAGCTTCTGTGCTGAGACTAATTTGAAAAGTCAACTGAAAAAATGGTTCCTTTGTTTTCGAATGCTGCTATCAAAGTAGCTTTAGATACAGGAGCAAAGAAGCACTGGCAGTTGGACTTGATGATTCTTACGGGTCCTTTTCAACTTCAGATATTCTATGACTCTAAAGGAAAAGAACTCAACCAAACCCCAATAGAAAACCAAAAAAATCCCAAAGTGACAGGCAAAAATAAGGTCAGATTTCAGTTATTTAACATTTTACCACAGAAATTATAAGTGCAGCTTCTCCTGCCTGAGAGATCCTGGGGGTGTTCCAACCCCTAATCAAGGCAAATGTGGTAATGAGTTGGTAAAAAGACTGCATTATGGCTCTGATTCCTGTCAGCTTTTACAACATACCACGCTGTCACCACAGATGTGCAAATGGGTTGATGGGAGTGAGCAACAGACCCCAACATGGCTAATGCCTCCAGAGCTGTCACTTGAACATTCACCTTGTCAACAATCAACATTATATTGTATACTCCAACTAGATGAGACCACAAGTCTTTTGTCCCACCACCATGCACCTAAGCTTTCCACTTGTGTGGGTTTGAAGGACAGACCACTTAACAGAAGGAGTGCTACTCCTGATGATAACACTGGTCTGAAGTGAGCTTTGCTATTGAAGGCAACACTAGGAATGAGACAACCAAATCTGTTTTCACACTGTTATGACACAGAAAGGGCTGAGAAAAAGCTGCTTTGACAGAAAATTTTGGCTGCAAGCTAAAAAAGCCTGATATATACACGTATAACATTTAAAAATTGTGGGTTTTTTACAAAATACTTCGTAAATAAAGCAAAAATATTTTAAAATGTTCATTTTCTTAAAAAGGCAAAAATCAGCACAGACATGTATCAAAAGCTAGAATTTTGGGAAATAAAACCAGCCTACTCTTTTTGTGCCAGTAGAACAACAAAACATGGATGCAAACAAGAAATACATCAAATGTTATTTTCAAAGGACAAACTGCAATCTTAAAGCATCTCCTAAAAATCTCAATATAAATAATGGGCTTTTATTGTTCATTTACTGCAAGGTTAGGCAGCCTGATATGATGGATGAACTGTCAACTCCCAACTAAACTTCTCCAATCTATCAAAGAAAGAGTGGAAATTTCAGTCGAAGTGTCAATAAACCTAAATGATGAAGTGCAAAATACTTCACAGAGTTCTGATCATTTTTTAGGACCTGCATTCACTGCAAAATTGCAGAAACATTGTTTTCCCCTCACTTCCCTCCCCTTCTCCTTGCAAGGTGCACATCTTGATTTATAAGTCAATGATACCAAGGATTCATAGAACACTAATGAAGTTTTTGTAAAGGTCTAATGCTAGGGAAAATGATGTTTACAAAAGAAGCTATTTTACTCTACCCAAAAACCAAAGATCACCAAGATTTTGTAAAGATTGCTGTTTAACTTATCCGTTATTCAAAAGCGGCTACATTAAGAAAATTAACCCAGGGCTGCAACTGGAGCTTGATCTGCAATCAAAGCTGACCCTGCCCTGAAGCAACTATGATTCTGTGACAACTAAAACCAAGAGATACACAGCAGCATGAACTAGCACACAGACCCATAAAAACCCAGGTATTACATTGTTTGATGTAGGTATCCAAGGTTGTAACACGTAACTAATTACATTATATAGCAACATGGTCTCCCTGCCCTTAGCAGGGGGGTTGGAACTAGACGATCTTAATGTCCTTTCCAACCCTAACTATTCTACGATTCTATGATTTTATGTTCTTTGTGTCCGTATCAGAGGAAGCCTGCATTTCTTCTTCATATACACATGCAAAAGTCAAATAAACCAGTTGTAGCAGACTTATCACAATATATTAAAAATTAGCTACCAGTTACCCCTTTGGACTTGATTCTGTGACATGCTGTGGCATAAAACTAAGCATGAAGCTCTCAGCTGAAGTATCACAAAACCCTAGACTACAAAAATTTGAGTTTCTACTGCAGATCTCAGAGCCTAACACCTTTTGTCAAATTTGATGAGGACAGTTGAATGAATTGGTAGAAAGCTTTTATAATTGATGTTGAATGTAAAAGCATATTAGTGCCATCATGAAATCTGTAAAAATTATGTCATCCTGCCTTTGCTTATCATTTAGTGTTTAAAAACTCAATGCATTACCTTAAACACCCAGACTTTTTTATTTGTACCTCATCTTTATCACAACTGCCCTGACTAATGGTAACAATACAAAAATCCTTCTATTTGATTATTTTCTTCCCTATTCCAACAAAAAAAGCAAGCTGTGCATCGTAAGTCAAATTAAACAGGAATCCTCACATAAGTACCCACCTAAACGCTTCTAAATACACATCTTCAAAAAATACACATCTAAACACTTATAAATATTTATGTTGGAATATCTAATTTGTTTTTGCTTTAAACACATTCATAACACCTTTATTTCAGAACTCACTCCCCCCCACATGAAGTATGCTAAATAAAAATATCTAGGTATCTTCACTGACTTAAGCTCCAAAAATGGAACCTAAGTCACATGACATAAATTGCATGGGCCTTCCCAGAAAAAAACAATAGGGGACATTTTCATTAATCCAAAATCCAGTGTTTCTCTGTTTTCTCCTATCTACCAGATATTGAATGACCAAGAAAAAAAAGCTGCAACATGAATGTGCATTTATGTAAATTCATACTGAACAATGTAGGCACGACTTCTCTGAAGTGTTTCAAAGATGCCCTTGTGCTGAGTTTTCATTTAATGCTAATGCTCAGACTGAAAACTTTTTCCTTTTCTTCTGTTTCATATTGACTAGTGTTTGATAGGCAAATAATTTATCACAGGTTCAGATGTACTCCGCATTCTTCATTCAATTTAATGCAACACTGTAATACTTGCCTTGAAACCTTCATTTCCATGGTACAGGGGTGTACTGTAATACTGTCTGTGATACTAAGATAAATAAGCTTGTGTTTACTCCAATTAGAATTCCCCTCCCATCAAATTTCACAGCCTTTCTAGAATTAGCATTCTTTCGAACGTAAGTCACATTAACTGACATCAAGTAAAAATACTAACTTGCATGAAGTAAATAAAATAGATGCAGTAAACCCTCTGGTTTTCAGATTCCAATGCTCTATTTGTTCCCCCTCAGTCTTCACACATAAAGTTCATCAACTTCCCTGTTTGAAAAACTGTGTTTGCCATAGGACCTGCTAAATGTTTATCGCATGAGCTACACTCTACCTTGCCCTTATGCTGTTTTTCACTTTTTACCAAACACAGAAAAGCTCTTCTGAGATTAGTGCCTGTGTCATTCTCGAGCACAGAGGTAACAAGATGCTGAACAGAAACCTCTTCTTTCAGAAAATGGGCTAGAGAACAAAACAGAATGACCCCAGCGCTAAGTCTCCTCATCTTTCCCTCTCCTCATCTACCTGTATTATACTGTAATATTACTACTGGAGTTTTACATCTACCTCTCTTTACAAGAAGAGCCCATTTGACATCTCTGTACCATGGAAATGAAGGTTTCAAGGCAAGGACTGATCATAAACGAAGCATAGTCAATGCACCGTCTATTAGTGCAACGTGATATCGACCATATATGAAGAAACTAAAATTGTCTTACTGTACACTTTGTGCTCGTTGTGATGGTCAGGGTGAAATCTGAAGAGAATTCCAAGTCTGGAGTAGATGCAGTATTACAGTCAATATGCTGTTGAAAGAAGTAATACAATTCTGTAAGTGCTAAATTTAAGATCTTTGGATGAAGGTTGCTCCCATAATGAGACAACTTTTTGAGGACAATATTAATTCAGCTCTACAAAAATGGGAAGAAGCTTAAAACCCACCTAATCCTGTCTGCACATTGACAACCTAAAACCCTTCTTCCCAAAATGCCAAAACTAACAGACACTTTGACCAGTAGCACTATGGAACTGGGTATAGTAGCTCACTCTGTTCAAGAAAATTGCTCTTGATGACAGCTGCCCATTGGTAAGATCAAGTAGCTTTCACAGGCATTCTTCTTCACCTGTTTTACTCCTTGTTCATATAGCCACATGGCAGACTACAGTATCAGAAGTGGTACAGGTTCAATCTGAGCTTTTTTGACTTGCCAGGTTAATGTAGTACTGATCATGGAATAATTGAAAGGGACCTCTGGAAATCACAGTCTAAAGCAGGGTCAGCTAGAGCAGGTTGCTCAGGACCATGTCCAAATAGCTCCTGAACATCTCCAAGGACAGAGACTCCACAACTTCTCTGGGTAACCCTGTGCCACTTTATTCAACTGCCCTCACAGTAAAATACCATTTCCTGATCTTTCAACACAACTGCCTGTAGTTCAACTTGTGCCCCTTCTTTCTTGTCCTGCCCCTGAGAATCACTGAGAAGAATCTGGCTCCACCTTCTCTACTTACCACCAGCACGAGGCATTTATACACACTGATAGGGCCTTTCCACTAGACCAGGTTGCTCCAAGTCCTGTCCAACCTGGCCTTGAACACTGCCAGAGATGGGGCAGCCACAGCTTCTCTGGGCAACCTATGCCAATGCCTCACCACTCATTCAGCGAAGAATTTCTTCCCAATATCTAAATCTCCCCTCTGTCAGTTTAAAGCCATTACCCCTTGGTCCTGTCACTACATGCCCCTGACAAACCCCCTCTTCAGGTTTCCTGTCAGCCCCTTTAGGCACTGGAAGATGCTCTCAGATCTTCTGGGAGCCTTCTCTTCTCCAGGCTGAACAAGCCCAGCTCTCAGCCTATCAAACTCTTCTCAGTGAAGCTGCTTTCTAGCCAGTAGACCCTCAGCCCCTGTTGATGTGTGGGGTTATTCTTCCCTCCCCTCGGCAGGATTATGCATTGCCCTTTGGCTGCCCAAAGCTTTTTGCACAGGACAACCACTGGCCCATTTCTCCAGTCTCTGGATGTCCTCCTGAATAACAGCACAACCATGAGGTGTATGAGTATGTAAAATATCAGAGTGACTCAACTAAGGAGAAAAGCACAAGGGGCAGAGAACTGCTTTGCTATTTTGAATTTAACACAAAACACAGCATATCCAGGATAACAACAGTAACATTGCAACGTGCATTTCAATATTATAATATTTTAGCATATATATATA